GGACCTTGTATGATTTCCAGGTTGTGTGATTTCAGGAACTATTCATCTTATAGTTCCTTGCTAATTTTTTTCCTCTGGAAGCAGTTCTTGTTCAGTCTTATGGATGTTAGCCATGTGCAGGTGCAGATTGTATTCAGCCAAAGACAGAAGGCAGTTCCTATGTAGGTTTATAGAACTCTTTCATTTGTAGTTCCCTCCTCTAGAATAGTCTTCCCAGCAAATTCTAGGTTCCACAGCCTCCTAACCTTCACATACTTGAATCTCCATCTCCTTTACTCAACAAGATTTCCCGACTGTGTTTGGGTTCCTCCTCACTATGCCTTAATCAGGAAATTGCCTCCAAGCAAAGAGCCTGGAAAATAGGAGGGCTCACCTCATTTGTTTTTTTTTTTTTTCTCAGAGATCATAGTCTTGTTCTGCCTATAGTCCAATGTGTAAAAATAGTTGTTTTCTATAATTTGTCTAGTTTTCTAGTTATTTATGGTAGGAGGGTAATGGTGGACCATTATTGAGCCTATAAATAATTGTATTGCCATAAAAAGTGAAGGAACAGTAAATGTATTGTGTCTGAATTTGAGGGCACTAGTGAGAACCAGTTCCTAGTTTTAAAATGTTTCATTTCAGTTTATAAAAGCATAGCTAATAAACTGAGGATTAGAAATGCATCAAGAAGAAAGAAAAAGGGCTTTCTGATCTGAAATGTATAACCACAGTTAATTTTTCTCATTATTTAATTTAACCCTGTATAATTGATTCTTATTCCCCTGGATTTTGAGTTAGCAGTTTGCTTTCATATAGCATTATGTTCCTGGATATAAAGGATTCCAATAAAGCCTGATTCAGCCATATGGTGTGTTTTGAAATTGTCTACTCAGTATCAGCTTGAGCACCATATCCTGTACCTGTGAGTCTAATTCTTGAATTCAAATAGTTTAGAATACCTGATATGATCCTTTCTACATGTCAATGAAGACCTAGTTTCTATCCTGTACCTGAAAGCAGAAACTTTAGGTAAACATTAGAGAAAAGCACAACATACCAGTTGATCAAAAGCCTGAAAAGTTTGAATGGTTCATTTATGAGAGTCATCAATAGTATGGGAATGGAGAAAAGCAAAATCTCTTATTTTGCAGACAGGGGTGTGATAATAACTATTTATTAAGAGTTTGATCAAAGTTTCTCTTGAGGATAAGAAAATATTATGAAGAGAAGTGGACTTGAGTTTCTACAAGCATTCAATCCATTCTAGTTACATGTACAATATATGAAACATTTATGCTGAGAACATTAGTTATGCTTATATTAATAACATTTAAAATTAACCTAGGGAAGGCTGGCTGAATTTCTTTGACAGTTCTTCCTATGCAGCTCTTACATTGCTATCTATTAGGAAATAATGGGGAATATCATAAATTAGGAGTTTGGGATTACAGTATACACACTACTATGTATAAACTAGGTACACAACAAGGACCTACTGTACAGCACAGAGAACTATATTCAAGGTCTTGTAACAACCTATAATGGAAAAGAACCTGAAAAAGAAAACATATATATATATCTGAATCACTTTGCTGTACACCTGAAACTAACACAACATTGTAAATTAACTACTTAAATTTTAAAATGAATTAAAAAAAGAAAGATACTGTAAAATTCTTCCCAACTGCAATTAGGAACAATAGTTTCTCTTATTTTGTAAAAAGCCATTATAATATGAGTTTTCATTAAAAAATTAATATCTTACAAAAATAAATAAATAATGGAGAATACCAAACCAATTGTAATTATTTCTAGCATTCTTATATTTATGAGATAAGAGAACAAATCTGTTATTTTCTGATGGCAATCTCAGAAATCTCAAAGATAGTTTTAGGTATTATTAAAATCATGAAGAAAAAAATATTTTTGACTTTAGACTCTGACCTTGGTAAGGTAAAGTCACCAGAGTTGTCCAAGGTGGTTACTTAATTAAAAAGGATTATTGGTTATCTAGTAAAAATTGCTTAACTCCCTGTTAATCAAAGTGACAGTGCAAGAGCTTGCATAAAATAGGAAAAGGTAGTAAAATTATAGGGAACTTTAGCTCTTTCAAAAAACAGGGAGGTGTTTAAAAATAACCATTTACATAATACAAAGCACAGAAAATTATTCTGGTGAAATATTGAATCTCTGCCATCCAGGTAAATTTATAGAAAGTAAACAAAAACCTTATACTACCACTGTTAAGAGCAAATTGAATACTTCACAAGCAATTTCCATGTATATAATTTTTAAAAACCCAAATTCTAATTTTGCATCAATATAGTATGAGGCTTTACGGTATTCACAAGGATATTTTTTAAATTATCTTATGAATGACCCCACCAAAATTGAACAATTGTTGCTAAATTTTTTTCAGAATCATTATTTTCTTCTGCATAGGTATTATCAACAAAACCAAGGTTACCTTGCACAAAATGTCTATAATTTTCCATATTCATTCAAGCCTTGACTTTCACTGTCCTCTTTCATATTCTGAAACAACCAGATATAGCATTAGGATAAAACAGTTTTGTCAACAGAAGCAATTACAAACAGAAGCAATTATACATCCTATTATCCTGAGACATAATTGTCTTCTGCCATTATTGCTACTGGCATGTCCTAATTGTAGTAATTATAATTTTTAACCCAATTAAGTTATATTTCAGAAAGATGTAAAGGTAGATAATTTATTTCTGCCTCTCATACAGAAGCTAGTTAGCAGCCTAAAAACTCATACACACCTAATACAATCCCTTACAGTCACACTCATTTTCTTTTTAAAGTGACAAAAATGAACAAGTTAATACAACCCAAAGGTATAGCCATTCTGTAATATATAAGCTAAGCAAAATTATATGTGTATACACATGTGTATATGCATATATACAAGCACTCACAAATATATACACATCATGGGCAGACTTACTGACTTGGTCAAGAATCAGAAACAAAAACAAAGCAACAAAAAACCAAAATGAGAAGAAAAAAACTCAGAGAAATGGAGAATCAGCCAAGTTAAATTTTTGATGCCACTTGGGAATCACCCTACTTTATAGGCATTAGGTAAAAGAATGTTGAAATACAGTTGTTAGGTTCGAAGTAAAATCTGCTAATGTCCTATAGAGTAATAAAACCATAATTTCGGGTTATCATTTCAATCAGACAAAACTCATTTACATATCGGCCAGACAAAAACTATGTTAACATATAAGTTCACAAAATCTAGGCTCTTATCAGTACTGACTAGCAAGTTATACAAAGTACATTCCTTAAATAATTAAATAACCTTTAGGTTTACCTTAGATGGGTCCTTTAATGAATGTTCAAAAATGACATTGAAAAGAAATGTGGTTCTCCAATTTTCTCTATTTACAAGTGTGGACAATTTTTAACAGGTATATTAGCAATATTCCAGCAATATTTGTTTTTAATGACCTCCATACCTCTTTTTAACAGCAACATTACTTTTAAGTAATTTTTATACAGATCATTTTTTTATGTTCTGCAATATGTAATCAAGTGCTTTTGCATGCACTATAGGGAGTAATTTTTTAGCTAACATTTGAAGATCTCATGTGAATACTAGTTTGGGGCGAGTAAGTTATTATATGATCAAGCATTTTTCCTCCTTTGGAATGTTTTTGCAACAACTTTCTTGAATTGTATTCATTGTTTCAATAGAACCTCCAAATTTACACTGATTTTAACTTCTTATAATCAACTCTGATTTTTTTCTGATTGGTAGATGAATGTTTTGATTAAATTGAATACTATTATTACAATATTATATTCTGCTGTAACATATTATAGTTATCACTTATGTTATACATAAGAACAAGAGAACAGTATTAACAGTTTAATAATATAGCATACTATAATTTTAGAATGTTTTAGAATGTTCTAATATCCTATAAACAAACAATATATCTAACAACCATTTAATGTTCTAATGAATCCTAGAAATTATTAATTCCAAGAGCTACTCTGGAAAATTAAATAAATGTACATTTCTTTTGCGAGAAAGTCTCAAGGTTTGCTTGCTAAATTCAAATTTATTTTTATATAATGCTCTTTGTTAATAGTGCAAGAAAATAATCCAAGTATCTGTTACATCTTGCTCATTTGGAAACATATAGATACAAATAAGACCTGAGATCTCTCTCCCCTTGAAATGTAAATGATATTGGCTCAAATCTCTATTTCAGAATTCTGATCCTCTTCTTTCTGCATACCCTGTTATATGATCCAAAGACACAACAAAACTCTTCTGTAAAGTATTGACTTTACTGAAAAATTTTGTGTAATTGGGAAAGGTCACACAATTTAATGCCATAAATTAGGACGATGTAATTCACACATTAAACATTCCTTTTCTTAGAAGGCCTTTTAGCCATCTCACCCATGGGAGTCTCTCATTGTCCTATTACCTCATATAATTACCTGTTATCCTTGCTTTCTTCTCATTTTCTTCCCCATATGGAATAGTAACTTACCTTCCTTTGCTCCTCATACCAATGATTTTAATACCTCAGCCTCCCACTCGAAGCTTCTTAACCTTGACTGCACATGATAATCACCTGGACCCTGGCCCCAGAGATTTTAATATAACGGTTTCAGGAGGTACCCAGGCCTGTGTATTTTTAAAATGCTTCTCAGATAATTATTGAACTGAAGGGACTAATCAAATTATTTTTCCAGATATTTCTCTTTCTAAGAGGACTTCTGGTGCTAGATGGTAAGAAAATAAAAGTTTCAACTTCTTATATAAGACTATACATTTACAGTCTGAAAGCATATAGCTTATTTCACATTTATTTCAATGCAGTCACAATTATTACTTTATGTTTTGGATTTTTATGCCAATTCTTGGTAATACGAACTCTTGAATTTTCTTGAATTTTTTCTTATGTATTATCTATGCACACAATCTGATGGCTTGACTGAATTTGTTTACTTCTTTTGCTTTGTTTCAGTATTGTCTGAGATTTAACTGTGTAGAGCTTAAATACCATGTCAATTTTCAGAGTTGCAATTCTACCAGAGATTGTAATTCAAATGGAGTAAGTAATTTCAGCTTTCATTTTAAGCAACATGCTCTGAACAATTCAGTAAACAGTTTGGAGATTTAAAGAAATCATTTGAATAATTTTTTTGATCACTTTCATGCTGCTTGGTGTCATTTAACAGTTTGTAACTTATAACTTCAATCTTATCTTCTTGAGAAATCTTGCCAAACTGTTTATTAGAGAAGATAAAGTAGAAACATTTAAGATGATTCTGGATGTATAAGATGTTTGGTAAATATGTGGGCTGGATGTGCTATAAGCACTATGTGTTACCATCTAACCAAAATGATCTTATTTTTACAGAGAGAAAGCAGGAAATGGTAAATAAAGGTCATTAGGATTTTCTTGCTGGTCTTGCTCATTAATTTAGTGTCTGGGCTGTTCTGTGAAACTAGGAAGTAAATGGTAATTAGAGGCATGTTACTGGTGATTGACAATAGTTTGGTCTGGCTGTGGGGAGAGTTGAAAGAATTTATTTGGCAAAAGAATTTATTTGGCAAAAATTGATTTGGCAACAGAAGCCAGATATACTTTTTACGGTATGGGAAATGTCAAGAGAAAATTTGTTGAATTTGTCTATTTAAGGTAAATTCTCTGGAATGGATAAATTATCTGGAATAAATTCTCTGTTGAATATGTGTAGAATATTAATTGGCCTCTATTGAAAACCATCTTTGTACATAAAAATTGTTCTATTTTCTGATTATTCTAGGTCTGCAACAATTTTAACAATTGCCATTGTAAAATGGGGTTTGCTCCTCCTCGTTGCAAGCCGATGGCAGACGATTTTGGAAGTATTGATGATGGACACAGGGGCAAAGTTGGTTAGTGTCTTTAAAACTTTATTAATCAAAGACAATATGTAAGAATAAATTACAGTTGTAGGTTCCAAGTCACATTGCAAAGCAACTAATGTCAACAAATACGGTTTTACTTTACTTGTAAGATTTTAAAAGACTCTAAGACAGCTAAGTTTGAACTCTTCTTTATATATCAACACTGACATTGTCTAACAAAAAGTGTAACTAGTGGTAGGAAATTTTAAAAGTAGAAATTCCAGTGCATATAATTTGATTAGTTAATTTAGATTATTTACTTTGTATTGTCTCATATATTCCTAGTTTTAAATGATGTTCGTAGTCATTGTGATATTAATGCCACCAGAATCTTTCAAGGCTACTCCTTTCTCCTGCATTTTAGGGGCTACAATCTCATCTTTAGAAATTTCCCTTTAGGATATCCCCTCTAGGGTTCCTGAGTAGTATTTTGAGATCAAGCAGGCCTGGATGAGACTGGGAACACGTGGGGGATAGTCCCTGGTTCCAGAAGGTTATTGGAGCCCACCTAAACTAACCTGGGAGAAGAGGAGGTCTGTCTACCTTTACAAACCCTTTTTCTTTTGGGGCAATTAAATGGTGAACTCCTGGGCAGACTTATGTGTAGCTTGACTATTAGTGGGGGGCATACCTAGGGTGAGTAACTTTTCAGACAGCTAAAACACAGCTGTATCAGACTGTGTATCAGATCAAAAAATAAACATAATCATTTAACATATACAACTACACGTATATTATTATTTTCACATAAATATGTTGAATGAATAGGCATTTATTTGAAATTGTATATTATTCTGTACTGTGTGCTTTTGTTACATAAATTGCTATTATTTAAGTGAAATAGCAATAGAACTAGTAAACAGTGCTGATCAATAGTAGTTTATAGAACAACCAATTAAAAAATAAAATATGTGAGCAAAAACAGCAATACTTTATAATGAGAATATTTTATAATGTAACCTCTGATACAGCAATTTATTTTACCTCTTTTTAAAAATTCTTTACTAGATATTTAAATTTTGCATGGCTATCTTATTGTTTATTCTCAAGATACATAAACATAGGACTTTTAGAAAGGAGAAAGAATATAAATATGATAGGAATGATTAAAGATATGCTCATATTTAATGAAAATAACATTGACATGCTTCCTTCTGTGCCATAATACAGTCAGACATATTTTTGATTTTTGGTTTCATTTTCCAGTTATACTTTTCTGAACTGCTTGCAGCCTATAAGACATTCTTCTTTTAAGTAGTAGCAAAATGGAATAGAATCAAATGTAAAATTCATTTTGACTTGAAGCTCTGTTTTAACAAACCCACATTTACTGAATTCTGGTGTCAGTCCATCGTGGTGGCATTAAGCTAAGTATCTTGACAAAAGCATTTGAGCATGGGATACTTGGGTCTTATTTACTAGATACAGCAGGTTTTCAGGCTTGGAAATATTATTTTGCAGCTCTTCAAAACTCATTCTCTTTGTTTCTACAGGCTTATTCTAGTAGGCCACCTCTCTGTCAATCAGCTCCTTTGCATATTTAAATTCATCTTATAGGCTGTCCATGTCTATAAGGCCCATCATATTTATACACTCCAAAGCACATTGGATGTCATGTGTTAAATCTCTCTTTCTCAGGGAGCATGCTTTAAAGCATAGAAGTAATCTTAATTAGTGAAATCTAAGTTGAATTCCACATAAATTACAGTTTTAATAAAGGAACTGAGAAGGTCCTTCTTAACTTGCTTACCCATTTCTGGTTACATTTTTTTGAATTCTGAAGCAGTTTTATTTCCAAAAATATGAGTCATTTTTTCATTGTATGAGTTGTTGTCACAACCTGTGCAAATCATAGAACTACCCAGGTACAGTCAGTGCATCCTTTTCTATAATCCTGATGGCCCCTTCACAGGTCATCAGATTGTTTTGGAGAAATAGCACATAAATTTCTGCTTCACTACACACTTTTTTTCCTATTCTCATTCTCTATGAATTTCAAAATTAGAGAAGTACATTCTTCTTGTCCAAACTTTTAAAAATAAGATTTTACATCTTAAATATTTTAACATATCTTTTATGGTCAGTAAGGAGTACAGTCATCTTCTACACTTGTTTAAGGAAGCAATTTCTTTCCATTTTGTGAAAAAAATTTAAAAAAAAATTTTTTTTTAAATTAAAAAAAATTCTTGGTAAGTGCTTATGCGTTTTGAGGAAACTGAAACTGACTGAAACTTTCATTATAAAAGCATTTATATCACAGGAAAACAAATCACACTCCTTTTGGTGTTGTGTACCAGGTGTACAGGACATTTGGCAAGTGAGATCTTTTTCTTTTCTTCATTAAAAAATTTATAGGCTGAATGGAACTTGCAAAAATTTACATTTGCCCTGTCTGCTAACTACACATATAGATGAGCAGAGTCTAGTTTGTATTTGAGCAAGATAGCAAAAATCTTTTTGTTTTATATGGTTTTATTAAAATTTTCATAGAAATTCAGAAGCCTATTTGAAACTCTGTTCTGGAAACCAAATTACCTAAGAGCTGGGGGCAATATTTTGCTGCCACATTCACTTGGTAAAATGTGACAGAATCATTACTTCACTGTGAGGAGTCAACAGATGTTATCAAAATAACTCTTTTTTCTCCTGTTGGGCATTTTAGTTGCAATCTATGAATCTGGAAATGTAATTTCACTCAGTTTTGTAGAGCAAACAAGAAACTGAATGAATAGATAAAACATTTTTGTTCTTGTGGTGTACCCAAACTAATTCAGTGGTAGCTATTTTTATTTGAACATTGCTATCTTTTGGGAAGACAATTTGTTTTTTTCATTTAGGAAACAGAAAAATATGATTGACTTCGAAATACTTGCTTGTCTCACTGCAGACATTTGAGATTCCATCTCCATATGTAGCTTGCACAGCTCCTTCTCCACCATACCCAAATCCAAATATTTTGAATTGAGATATAACTGATGTATAACATTACATTAGTTTCAGGTGTACAACATAGTGATTTGATATTGTATACCTTGGAAAATAATCACTATAATGAGTCTAGGTAACAGCTGTCACCATGCATAGTTACAAAATTTTTTTTCTTGTGTTGAGAACTTTTAAGTTCTAATCTCTTAGCAACTTTTAAATAAGCAACACTGTATTATTGAATGCTTCTGCACACTAAGCGGAGATGTCGGCACAGCCGTTTCACACTGGGCACTCTGGTTTGAAGTGTTGGGTGCAAAGCCTCTGCACTCGACACCTTATGAGGGAGTGAAACAAGACTAAGCACAAAGGGAAAAAAAAAGGAGGCAGAGACAAGATGGCGGGGTAGAAAGACGTTAGTTAGCTCACCCTCTCTCACAAAAACACCAAAATCACAACTAACTGCTGAACAACCATCAACAGAAAAATACTGGGACCTACCAAAAAGGATATGCTACATCCAAATATAAAGAAAAAGCCACAACGAGATGGTAGGAGGGGCACAGTAGTGATAAATCAAATCCCATACCCATCGGGTGGGCAACCCACAAACTGGAAAATAATTGTATTGCAGAGGTTCTCCCAAAGGAGTGAAAGTTATGAGCCCCATGTCAGGCTCCCCAGCCTAGGGGTCTGTCATTGGTAGGAGGAGACCTCTGAGCATCTAGCTCTGAAGGTCAGCGGGGTTTGATCACAGTAATTCCACAGGACTTGGGGAAACAGAACCTCCACTCTTGGAGGGCATACACAAGGTCTTGTGTGCACCAGGTCCCAGGGAAAAAGCAGTGACCTCATAAGAGCCTGGACCAGACCGACCTGCTGGTATTGGAGGGTCTCCTGCGCAGGCTGGGGGTGGTTGTGGACTACTGCAGGGACAAAGACACTGGTGGCAGTAGTTCTGGGGCGTACTCATTGGCATGAGCCCTGCTGGAGGCTGCCATTTTCTCACCAAGACCTGGCCCCACCTAACTGCCTATAGGCTCCAGTGCTGGGATGCCTCATGCCAAACAACAAGCAGGATGGGAACATAACCCCACCTATCAGTGAACAGGTTGCCTAAAGTCTTCCTGAGCCCACAGCTTCCCACTAAACACACCCCTTGACATGGCCCTGCCCACCATAGGGACAAGACCCAGTTCCACCCACCAGTGGGCAGGAACCCGTCCCTCCCATCGGGAAGCTGGCACAAGTCCCTTAGACCAGCATCTTCCACCAGGGGGCAGACAGCAGAAGCAAGAAGAATGACAACCCTACAGCCTGTGGAACGGAAACCACAATCACAGAAAGTTAGACAAAATGAGATGGCAGAGGAATATATCCCAGAGCAAGGAACAAGATAAAACCCCAGAAGAACAACTAAGTGAAGTGGAGATAGGCAATCTACCCAAAAAAGAATTCAGAGTAATGACAGTAAATATGATCTAAAATCTTGGAAAAAGAATGGAGGCACAGACTGGGAAGATACAAGAAATGGTTAACAATGAGCTAGAAAATCTAAAGAACAAACTAACAGAGATGAACAGTAAAATAACTGGAATGAAAAATACACTAGAAGGAATCAATAGCAGAATAAATGTGGCAGAAGAATGGATAAGTTACCTGGAAGACAGAATGGTGGAAATCACTGCCAGGGAACAGAATAAAGAAAAAAGAATGAAAAGAAATGAGGAGAGTCTAAGAGACCTCTGGGACAACATTAAATGCATCTCATTATAGCAGTCCCAGAGGAGAAGAGAGAGAGAAAGGACCTGAGAAAATATTTGAAGATAAAATAGCTGAAAAATTCCCTAACGTGGGAAAGGAAACAGTCACCCAAGTCAGGAAGCGCAGACTCTCAGGCAGGATGAACCCAAGGAGAAACATACTGAGACACATAGTAGTCAAATTGATAAAAATAAAAGAGGAAATATAAAAAGCAACAAGGGAAAAGCAACAAATAAAATGCAAGGGAATTTGCATAAGGTTATCAGCTGATTTTTCAGCAGAAACTCTACAGGCCAGAA